TCGACCTTTGTGAACAGCGTATTTCCATATTTTCCAACTTCTTTTTTCACTTTTCTAAGATTACTAAAGGGGTTGGTAAAAGACAACAACCTTGCTTTGACGGTTTAACCCTTCTGAAAATCTGTATCATCACCGTCATTTTCAAATTCAGATTCTGAATCAGATTCACCTAGCGAAATACCTTAATGAAAGAAAATATAGATTCGCACGAAAGCTTTCCCATTTTTTTTCCCAATCTGCCAAAATAAGTTTTTCACAATGTTTACAAAAATTTTGCCACATGCTTGGACTACATTTAGAAAGCGCCTCAAGCCATAAATTCTCCACCCTATTTTTTAATGAAGGTTGAGAATTTTTATGCTTGTTGTAATAGTTCTTACAAAATCCCCACGCCATTTCAATTGGATTATATTGACCGTGGTACGGAGGTAATCTAAGAACTTCATGGCCACTTTCTCTTAATGTCTCGTTCACCAAATATCTTTTTTTTTTCTATTGTTTCTGAAGGGTTTAATTAAATCCCACAACTGTTTCTTTGAAATTTTTTTGTCAAATTCAACACTATGTTTAAAGAGCCATCTCTGCATTTCACATTTTTTACTAGAAAAAGTGGGTGGTTTATCCAACTGAACCGAATGATATGGTGCATTGTATAAAACCACTACACATTTTTGGTTCAACTTTGCCAAAACAGGAATGAGCTGATTAACCACTCAATTTTGAAAAATTGTCTCGTCAATCGTTTTATGATAGTCTGTATCGTTATTTTTTTAATTTAAAAAATTGTTACAACCATCCAAGAATAATTGTTGTTGAATAACCCGCGTGGAGAATAGTAAACCTTGATCCTTCACTTTTAATTTTGGTGGGATTGCTTTTTAGATCAGTATCGTGCACACAGCGACGAATGGACGAACCATTTTGATAGATCCATGTTTCATCCAAGTACACGAAAATCAAATTTTCACAAGAATTTTGAAACTGTAAGTATGTTCTCAGAAAAGTAATTTTAGTTGCAACGACATGTTTTTGTTCACATAGAATATTGCGACCATTTACTTCCTTGTGTTTATAATGTTAGTTATATGAGCCACGTGGAACGAAAACACGAACAACAGTTAATACATTTATTATACAAACACAAGTAAATATACATTACGGTGAACTTAGACACACACGCCCGGACCACCGACCAGCCATTAGTGTGACGTTCGTCTTCGTCATGGCTACGTCATCGCTGGCGCAGTCGCGCAGACTACCGCCGAACACGCACTCCATCTATGTTTCCTAACACTTCCTCTCGTATTCAAGGGTCACGAGTAACCGCACTTTAGTCCTCTAGCCTAGAACACTCAAACCGCTAGCCCGCACGCACTCGACATGTTTCGCTCTCGACAGTCCTTTGGTCAGGAAATCCGCCACTTGTTCTTCAGTACACACGTAGTCCAATTTCAACACATTGTCTCTTAGGACCTCGCGCACAAAGTGATGACGAATGTCAATATGTTTACTACGCGCGTGGTAAACCGTGTTTTACGCTAGTTTCAACGCACTTTTATTGTCACAACGAACAGTAACGTCAGAAAGAGTCCCGAACCCTAGCTCTTGCAAAAGTCGCTTTAGGTGCATTGCCTCTTTCATGCACTCGGATAGAGCCATGTACTCGGCCCCCGTCGAAGAGAGAGCCACAGTCCTCTGCTTCTTGGCATCCCACGAGACCGGGCTACCATTCAGAAGAAACACATATCCGGTGAAAGATCTTGTATCGTCGGGACAGTTACCCCAATCTGCATCCACGAATCCTGTTAACGGACTCAGTTTCGATCCGAAAGTCAGTCCCAATTTGGAGGTCCTCTTCAGGTAGCGGAGAACTCTTTTCGCAGATTTCCAGTGTTCCTCCCCAAAACAGGTATTGAACTGACCCAATTTGCTTACCACAAAAGCAATGCCCGGTCTGGTTGTTGTTGATAAATAGGTCAGCGCACCCACCAATTCTCGGTATGGAAGCTTGAGATCTTCTTCGCTTTGATTGGCTTTCTTTAAAAGCTTTGAGCCTATGTCGACGGGTGTGGCAACAGGCTTACATTCGGACATCCCAAACCTGTTCAGGATGTTGTCAATGTGACCTTTCTAAGTAATTACCACCCAACCCCCTCTCTGCTCGAATTCGACTCCCAGACAATATTTGGCGTCATCTAAGTCCACGATGTCGAACTCTTTTGTGAGAGCCCTATGTATGTCGCCAATCGTGCATTGGCGTTTTGATGCGATTAACATGTCGTCCACGTACACGCCAATCACGACTAAATTTTCCCCTTTACCGATATGATACAAACAGGGATTTGAATCTGTCGGTCGTGCGCCCAAATTTCGCAACACCTCGTCCAATCTGCGGTTCCAACTTCTTCCTGCTTGACGTAATCCGTATAAGCCCTTCTTCAGGAGACAGACCTTGTTCCCCTTACGATATGTCTGTCTGCATCTTGTCGGCCTTTTCTTTAACCGCACTATCGCAATCGGACTTCAGGATGTCAGCTAATATGTCTTCGAAATTCTTGGGCACCTCCATGTACACCGCCTCCTCAAGTTCGCCGTTTAGGTACGCAGTAGCAACGTCGAATTGCCTGATACGCATTCCGTAACGAGCCGCTAAGGAGGCCATGACCCTGATTGATGAGAAACGGGCAACCGGGGCAAATGTTTGGGTAAAGTGGACACCAGGGCGTTGGCTAAAGCCTTGTGCTACCAGGCGAGCTTTTCTTCTCTCGAGTGTCCCGTCTGATTTCAACTTATTTCGTAGGACGAGTCGACTGCCGATGGTTTCCTGTCCTCGGGGACGATCGACGAGCACCCAGGTATCATTTTTCAGAACGGATGCCATTTCAAACAAGATAGTGTCCCGCCAATCATCCGCGTCTGCACCGTTCAAAGCTTCCTTCATCGAAATTTCAGAAAGTAGCCCGACTTCGCTCAATTCGATGACATTCGATTCGGGCCTCGGCACTTGATTGAATTCCCTCTCCAGTTCTGACGATCTTAGGGCGACCGGGTCCTCGTTGTGTCTGGGGCTGCACCTGAGGTGGTTCGTCGCAGTCGTCGTCGATCGGGATCGGTTCATCTCGCGTCACTTGCTCGATTTCCGCATTAATATGAGATGGGTTTTCTAGTATGGGATCTGCACCGAAATTCTCGTCGATTTCTTCAGGAATCTCTCGCTCCTCGCGAGCAGGAAATCTGATGTCGACAAATTTCTTCGTGTCGTTCACTTCCTCGCAACATCTATCGACTTCAATTTCGCAGGGTTCGTTCCAAGAATCTTCTAAAAACTTCACGTCTCTGCTGATGATGACTTTCTGTTTCTAAAGAGACCAAATGCGATACCCCTTGTGAGAGTCCTCGTATCCGAGAAAAATCCCCTCTTCTCCTCGGGGAGAAAATTTTCCGTTATCCGGTTCGCGATTCAGGTAATAGACTTTTGACCCAAATACCCTGAAGTTCGAGATGTTCGGCACCTTACCGGTCCACACTTCGAATGGGGTTTTGTCATCTAGACTTTTCGTCGGCAGCCTGTTTCTAACATAGTTCGCGGTGTTAACCTCCTCTGCCCAGAATGAGTCAGGCAACCTGGCATCCAAGAGAAGACATCTTGCAGTTTCCAACAGTGTCCGGTTCTTCCTCTCCGCGACTCCACTCTGTTCCGCTTTATAAGGAACGGTCAACCTTCTGGTGATGCCTTTGGACTTAAGGTAAGCATCGAATTCGCCGCCCGTATATTCGCCTCCGTTATCCGACTGAAGGCACTTAACTGTCCTGCCCTTTTGATTTTCCATCAGCGTGATGAAATGCTTAGTCGCTTGAAGTGCATCGCTTTTGTATCTTAGGAAGCGAACTTCTGTTCATCTCGACTTGTCATCGATGAACTCGATAAAGTACCTGGCCTTGCTTAGAGATTTGGTTCGCATGGGCCCGCAAATATCAGTGTATGGTGTGTTCCGATTCGACTTTTTGGGAAACGGGGTCCTTATCATCTTCCCCTGAAGACATGTCACGCATTCGAAGTTGCCACTGTTAGGTTTTAAGCGAACTCCGCGTACGACATTTCGCGAAACGGCACTTAACAAATCCTTCGAGTTCGCGTGTCCCGATCGCTTATGCAACAGCTCAAGCGATATGACGTCATAGCTGTCGATCGGTTTCGAGAATGCTACGCGAGCGTCGTGTTCGTCCTCGCTTACAAAGTATAAATCCCCGACCCTTTTGGCAACAAGGTGTATTTTACCTTTTGAGTCCGCAATTGTTGCCTCGTTTTCCGAAAATTCACGCTGAAGCCCCGATCCGCGATTCTGCTCACCGAAAGAAGATTCGTCCGCACAGTCTCTTTGTCGCGCACATTTGATTTGAACCGCGCTAGTCCTTCGCCAGAAATGCCCGTTGTAGAGTTGTTAGCAAGATTTAAAGTTCGGCGATTACGTTCGTTAAGTTTTTCGAAACTTCGCGCGTCACAACACAAGTGCGCCGTCGCGCCACTCTCCAGGCACAGTGTAGTGATAAATGTATGCAAGACAATGCCAAAAAATGACGATATTTGAAAAATATACATATTCTGGGCCTGATGTGGAGACTGTCTTAATGTAGGTACATAAGTTTATAAGCGTTAATTACATTAATATTGTGTATTTCCACCCCTGGCTTGAATAACGGCTTCCATCCGACGCTGCATACCTTCGTAAAAGTGCACAATATTGTCTTGAGGAATATTTGCCCATTCTTCCATAAGAACTGCTTCTAGCTGTTGGAGAGTTCTAAAAGCAATTCTACGGCCCGCAACACGACATAGCAGATCATCCCATACATGCTCGATGGGATTCATATCAGGGCTTCGAACTGGCCATTCCATAACAGGCGTATCAGAAAGTATATTGAAAACTATCGACCAATTACTTTGCTTAATAATTTTTCTAAAGTTTTTGAGATCTTGTTGCAGACAGTCATCATGAACCATGTTAATTCCAATATTTCTCCACTTCAGCATGGATCTGTCAAATGCCGTTCTGTTGAAACTAATTATTGATGCAGGAACTCAAGTGGATACTATTTACATAGATTTCTCGAAGGCGTTAGACAGGCTCGACCACTATAAATTACCTGTCAAATTAAGCTCTTGGTTTTTCTGACGACCTAATAATATTTTTTGCTACATATCTAACCGGAAGAAAACAACGTGTTATCTGTAGCGGTTATGAGTCAGTAGAAATTAACGTTACGTCCGGCGTACTAGAAGGATCTGTTCTTGGGCCTCTATTCTTCAATCTTTTTGTAAATGATATTACAGATAATTTAACTTCACCGGCATTATTGAATGCTGACGACATGAAATTATTTAGAAAAATTACTAGAAGGGAAGATCAATTAAAATTGCAAGCCGATCTGATGTTAGTTTGTGACAAAAGTAAACAATCAAAAATCAAAAGTTTTAATTTTTGACTATCCTATTGATAATGTCCAGGTTTGCAGAAAAATTGTTATTAGAGATCTTGGAGTAACATTCGACGTTAAAATGAGCAAATAATATCAAGTGCACGGAACTGTAGAATTTCAGGACCCTGAAACAATCAATATTTTTCATTTGGTCGATCAAAGTTAGAATTTGCAAGCATAATATGGTCGCCTCGCTATAGCATCCACACGGTGGCTCTGGAAAAGGTCCAGAGACGATTTCTGAAATTTCTGTTTTTTTTGAGCTTTGGTCATTATCCCAACAGAGGTTACCCTCATGAAACAGTGCTTGAGATATTTAACGTAGAAAGTCTGGAGCAAAGGAAAACAAATAATACCAATAGATTTTGGACTTCGTTTGCCAATTTCAAAGCGAGAGAATGGAGTTCTTAAGTTATCATTGCTACGTAAATCATAGTTCTGTATATCTTGCACGTGTTAAAATTGACAGACATTACGCTTGATCTTGAGCACTAAACTTAGAATATATAATGATGGTATTGTTAACAGACCATATTTTCTGAAAATTTGTCGACAAGCGGTTCTAGGATGTAAATTAAATATGGCCCTAATTATCCGTTTCTGTGCCTTAAAGACATTACTTAAATAAGCTGAGGCTCCCCAACACAAGATAGCGTGCGATAATCTCGACTAAATCAATGCATAATAAACCTTATATAAAATATCCATTGATGCGCAAACTCTAAGGCCTTTAAATAAATAACATGCTTTACTATTTTTTTTTTACAGAGATCATCTATGTGATTGTCCTATTTGAGTTTGGAATCTAGTATGACTCCTTATATAAAATATCCATTGATGCGCAAACTCTAAGGCCTTTAAATAAATAACATGCTTTACTATTTTTTTTTTACAGAGATCATCTATGTGATTGTCCTATTTGAGTTTGGAATCTAGTGTGACTCCCAAGAATTTCATACTTTCTGTTAATATAATGGAGGAATTTGTAGCACCCAAAAAGAATACTACAATTGAGTGCCATATTTTTTGGTATGACCCGCATATAAAAGGTCTTTTTTACATTTAACTTTAAACCATTAATATTACAGTAGTTAAACAAACAATTGGATTAGTTTTAGCTGCATCCACTTCTAGTCCCTTTCTATTCACATACTACTTTCCTAATGCTTTCATCATTTCTCTCAATCCTCTTTCATTCTCATCGCACTATGAATCATACCTATCCCCTCCCCCAACTTTTCCCTTTTCAGCTTTTTTATTTGGGCTTTCACTTTTTTTTTACAATATTGTTCAATGCTGTTTCTCTTTCTTGTGCCTCCCCTCTATACGTTGTTCACCTCTTTTTTTTCTTCTAATGGCATATGATCCGGTTAATTCTCTCTGTCTTAAAATGTATCAATTCCGCTTTTGCCTGAATACTCGTATTTACAATTGTATAACCTATCACCGGTATTCCATTTCTTCCTATTCACGTCCATTCCCCATCTTCATCACCCCTTCATTCTCATTTAGTATTTTCCACCACTTGTTTACTGTTATTTCCAAGAGAATTCTTCCTTCTGAATTTTCTTTTTTTTTTCTTTAAATTTTATTCTTATATTGTGATCATCTTTAATCCTCGTCCCCTGTAACCCCACTTTCGCTATCAAATCGCTCTTATTGATTTAACTATATGTCTCTTGAAATTTTTCATTTCTTTGTTGTAAACTGTAAATGTATATTCCATATTTTCTCCTTAACCACTAATTTCCTATCCATAATTCCCTCCTCCTCGTCTTCTTCTCTGTGATCTTCTTCCGTTTCCGGAATGTGTTTTTGTACTCCTGCTATAATATCACTATATAATTCATCTTTCTCTTCACTTTTTTGCGGCTTGGCATTTCCATCTGAAATCTCTTCATTTTCTTCCAATCCTTATCATCTAGTCAAGATTCTGCAAAACCTACATGAATCCTTTTTGTACAGTCTTTATTCTTTGTTCCACCTCAACTCATTCCAAAAGAAAACTATAATATTATCCTTTTCCAAAATCCTTCTTTTTTATTCTTTTTTTTTATTTATTTTTTTTATTTATTTATTTAACAGAGAAATTACAGAGTAGAGGAAAAAAAAATCCTATGGGTACTCTATACAAATTAAACTAAATTTTAAAGTTAACTGTTGAAGGTAACAGAGTTGATTCCCTTTTTGAAAATGCTTGTAGTGGGTGCGGCGACTAGGGTAGGTTGTAAAGAATTCCACTCCTTGAAAACGCGATTGGGTAAAAAACATTGACGGCTCTTCGTCGAGTATGTCTGGTGTTTTAGTTGTCGAGGGTGGCCTCGTAACCTGTTGTCATTTTGTGGTTTGTAAATGTGCGAGAGGTCCACGCTGAACTTGGATGTTAGGATGTTGTAGGTGGTTATAAGATCGAGTTTTCTCAGTCTCGTTGTAATAGGTTCAAGACGCATTTGTGAGAGGCGTTCGGCATATGATTGTCTTCGAATTCCAAGACCAAGGCGGGTGGCTCTTCGTTGTGTTTGTTCTAATAGATTCTGTCTCGACAAAGTATTGAGTGCCATATAGCGCTGGCATATTCCAGGTGGGGTCTGATATACATGATGTAAAGTTTCCGAGTTGTTTCATACGACGGCTTTGAGAAAATTTTGTTACAGATCTATATCGTTGAGTTAGCTTTCTTTCATATTTTATCAATGTGTTGTGTCCAAGTCAAACGGTCATTAATGATGACACCCAAATCGTTAACAGATTTTACAGAGCGCAAGAGTTTTCCATTGATGGAGTAAGTGTTAAGAGGGTTGTTTGGCCCGATGTGAAGAACGACGCATTTGTCTTCGTTTAGTGGTAGAAGCCAAGCTGAAGACCAAATGGCGATTTTGTGCAGATCACTTTGGAGAGTGTCCCAGTTAGATGTTGGGTCAGCAAAAATTTTTGCGTCGTCAGCATAAAGGGCGCATTTTGAACTGATGCCAGCGACGAGATCGGATGTGTAAGCCAAGAAGAGAAGTGGCGCCAGGACGGATCCTTGTGGTACACCACTTAAAACACTTCTGGGATTGGAATACTCCTTTTCCACCCGGACTTTGAACGAACGGTTATTAAGAAACGATGAAATCCACGTTAAGAGGTCTCCACGGACGCCTTGGTGATGGAGTTTGTGCATCAATCGCTGATGAGGAACACGGTCAAACGCTCGGGAAAAGTCTAAGTAAATGACGTCTGTAGGCTTATGTTTGTCAAGTGAGTCAGACCACTCGTTTAAGCATGATATTAAGTTGGTGACGATTGACCGGCCTTTAAGGAAGCCATGCTGAACGTTAGGAATGATTTAATTTTCAACAAGAAATTGAGATAATGAATCGACTATGATAGATTCCATAATTTTGGACACCACTGACACTAAGCTAATCGGCCTGTAGTTATCTGGAGAGAGCTTGTTGCCTTTTTTAAAAATAGGTGTGACGTAAGCACAACGCCAGACGTCTGGCACGATGGATGTTTTAAAAGAGTTTGTCATTTTTATGGCCAGGGGTGAGCTTAGGGAGCTGATACAGTGTTTCAGTAGGTGCACATCAATGTTGTCAGGTCCAGGGGCAGAGTTGGACTTAAGATTTTTTATTTTTTGTCTTATTATCGATGGAGTGAAATTGATGTTACTTAGAAAGTTCTCACAACTGGGAGTAGAGAGTGCTGCTGTCAGTGGATCGTTTGGCTCTGGTATGAAAGACTTGCAAAAACTCTCAGCTAATAACTCGGCTACTTCCAGGTTATTGTTGCACAGAGTTCCGTTGGGGTGTTGGATCAGAGGTACGCTGACCTTTGAGCACAGGGCATTCCGAATGTATTGGTGGAACTTCTTTTGGTTGTTGCTGAAAATTACTGACTGTTCATATGCCTTCTTAGCTTTCTGTAATTTGATAGATAGTTCGTTTGAGAAAAGCCTGTGAGCTACGTAGTCATTATTGCATTTTGTTCTCCGAAATTTTTTCCAAAGGGCTTTCTTTTTTGATAATTCTTTTATAAGGTTACGATTTATCCAAGGTTTATTTTTCGCTCGTTTGATAACCATCGTCTTAGTATATTTTGCTTTGAGTGATGTAATGATCGCTGTCAGGTATTTCCATTGCTCATTTGGATCTAAGTTACGGAGACAGGAGTGCCAATCAATTTGATTAATATCGCTGTTGACTAAATTGTAGTTAATACGCTTAACCACCGTTGAGTCAACGCGATTGGGGTGAGTCGAAACAAAAAATTGAATTTGGCTGCTTAACACTGCGTGGTCAGATATGCCAATTGGTGGTTCATGTTGAATATTTGACAAGAGCTGACGATCGTTTACAATAATCCAGTCTAGGAGTGAGGGGTTTGTGTTTTCTCTGAAGCGAGTTGGTTCATTGACAAGCTGTGTGAGGCCAAGGTCTATTAAGAAATTGTGATAAAGAGCTTCTGTACTGTTAGGATGATCGAGGGATACAATATGTTTGAAGTCTGGCAGATTGAAATCGCCAGTGACGATTACTTGAGAGTATTGGGTTATTAGCTCAGTCAAGACTGTAATGATATTATTGTCTGTGGTTGCGGGAGTGTCTGGTGGCCTGTAGATACATAATAATAAGAGACTGAAGGATTGTAAAGAGATGTGAAGAACAAGGGTTTCCACTGAATTAATTTCAGTGTCAATAGTTTTAATTTGGAAATTCGAAAAACAGTTTTTATTGAGGAAAATTGCGACACCTCCTCCTCGTGTGTGGACTCTATCGTTACGGTGTATGTTATAGTCGGGCGGACAAATCATTGAGTTGGGAATCGCGTTATGTAACCAGGTTTCTGTTATACAAAAAATGGAGGGTTTAGAGGTTTGCACGAAAAGAAAGAAGTCATTTAATTTTGCAGGAAGTGATGCAATATTGGTTGACATCAATGATAAATTAACGAAGTTGCCTAATTGATTCTGGGTGGGAGGTTTTTTGTGATTTTTGCGATACCGTGTATATATTTAATTGTCAGATTATCTTCAGTTAAAGATCTCTGGGCTAGTTCCGCTCGTAAATCTCGTAAATAT